TCTCCCTAAATGTTGTGGGTGTATTTTCCTTTAATTCCACAGAGCACTCAGCAATCAACGTATGTGTGTCTTCTTTGAGGATTCAGGAGGCATCTCCAGGAGGACTGAGAAAGGGTGGCAGAGTTGGGAGTTCCTGTTGACACAGGGTAGTACTGGACTCTGGCTCCTGAAGGCCTGGATCTGCTGTGCAGTGATCCATTAGACATGCCTGCCACGGGTGAAGAAAAGGCATGAGACAAGTATTTACTGACCCTTTGGAAATAGGCCTCAGCTTCCATCGGTGTGTCACTTTCTAGCTGTGAGACTTGGGGGTCTTTGATGAGTCTCTGTGTCTATTACCACGTCATAAAAATAGACCAAAAAACAATGAACTTGCAGGATGAACGTGAAGAAAGAAGAAGGGACCGTGGATAGGGATGACCACTTTTCCCCCAGATCCTATTCTTGCTGGAGGTTGGGCTCTTTTTCCGTCTTAAATCAGGAAATCTGATGCATTTTTAGATTTTCTAATGGGCATCTCAACTCTTTCCTTTCCCAAGATGAGGCTGCACACTCCCCACTAAGGCTCACTTCGTTGTTAATATGGAGCTTGAACCAGGACATAATTCGCAGCCTCATTTCTCCTGGGCAAATGACCCTTGGACAGTTGGAACGAAACAATGGCAGTTCCTCATAATCTTTCTTTCTGGGAAGACTCCCCACCCTTTCGGAGACACAGGCATCTTTGGATGAAGCAGGAACTAGAGGCAACGGGGGAGCGAGCTGTGGGCTGGGTTCCGGAGACCTGGGTCCAACTCTGGATCATCATGTCTTGGTCGCATGTCCCCAGACAAGAGACTTAACCTCTCTGAGACTCAGCCTGCTCATCTGTAAAATGGGGGTAATAAGGCCTTGAGAGGCGGTGAGCAGGTAGACGGACCAGGAGACTGTGCCTTGTAGTGTCAGAGAGAAATGAAGTCTTCCGTTTTTTAGCTTTCTGACAATAAAAGTAATTCATATTCCCTGCAGAGCAACTGGAGAAGTATCAAAAGGAAAATAAAACTCACCTGATACCTCACCACACCGAGATAATAACTCCACTATTACTTTGGTGTAATATTCTCCAGCTGCCTTTTACGTGTTGATACAGTACTTGATTCTGAGGCTTCTTTTTTTTTTTATTCTGAGGCTTCTTAAAAGGATTATGTGAGAGAAGGTATTTTGAATTTAGCAGAGTGCTTGAACATGCAAGAAATAGAAATGAATATATTCATTTATTAATTAGTTCAATACTTTCTTTAAGTACGTGCCAGAGTAGGAATATTTGTGTGTGTATCTATATACACAGGTGCATACACATTCAGACGCGCGCACACTTATAATAGCATATGTGTGTGTGTGAATTTTTTTTTGTACCAGGCTCTGTAACATGAAGTTTCTATTAGTCTTTACTGCACCAGAAAAAAAATAACAAGATTTTTCATCGTGTTCTGGAGGTGTTCTGAGATTGTCTAATCTATAATAAAAACTTGTCAAATTAACTTTGGGAGGGGGTGCCTTGAGGTTCGCGAGGCTCGGAACTGCCATCTGACGTCCTGGGCACTTGCAGACAGGAGAGGGTTCTCTGAAGACAGCTGCCCTGGGCAGAGAACAGAGAAAACAAACAACGGTTTTAGATATTAGCCTCTAATTGAACATCACAAGAGGAGACGATGTTAATTGCAGCCACGAATTATCGGATGAACCGCTCCCCCCCCCCAGCAGCTCTGTGCAGCAGGGGGAGCAGCCTGAGAGTGCCACATGGTGCATGATTCTCCTGAGCGGTGCTGGGAGGCCAGCAGGTACATGCTACATGCTACATGCTATTGCATAGATCTCTGTGCACATGGTGTATACTGTGCATGCATTAGTGAGGGTGTGTTCTGGACACCTGCAATACAGATAGGCCCCTGCAAAACTATCGCTCCATGGAAATTAGGATTTTTTCTATCTATATTCCTTGTGCCTCGATCAGTGCTGGCACATAGTAAGTGCTCAGTAAATGTTTATTAAATGAATGCATGAATGGTGACCTACGATGATTTGACTTACAATTTTTCGATTTTATGGGGGCATAAAAGCAATACGCATTCAGCAGAACTTGTAATTTAAATTTCAAATGTTGATCTTTTTCTGGACTAGCGATAGGGCTCTACAGTGTATGTGTCGCCAGTGTTTTGTGGTTTTGCATCCCATCATGACCACGGAATGCCCATCCGTGCCTCCTGCTTCTGGGGAGAAGAAGAAATCTGTTATACCCGCACCTCAGTTTACAGTGGGGTTGCTGATAGTGCAACTGTCCTGAGTGCAATGAAAGGAGGCTAGGCTAGGCCATGCCGTTCAGCAGATCAGGTGCATTAAATGCAGTTTCCACTTATAACATTTTGAACTTATGATGTGTTTATCAGGACATCACCCCACCTAAAGTCGAGGAGCATCTGTATATGAATATATATGAATATATATATATATGTGTGTATATATATATATATATATACAGTGAATATATAGTATATATTAGTATGTTGTGTTTCTGTAATAGTATCTACATCACTATATTGTAACTATAGATTAATATGGGCAATTGGTATGTTTATTAGTAGGTTTCTGCTGTATACATCTATTTTAATAGTCATATCCTAATATCCACCCCCCCCCCATCATGTCTCTGTTCTCCAAGTCTCCAAGGAGAGAGAATGACTGAGAAGACCAAGCTCATGCCTGGCTTTGAATCGCGACCCCGTTTGCATGTGGCCGTCCTGACCCTGTCCTGAGCTTCGTTAGTCATGCGTCATGGCAGCTGGAAGGAGCCCGGCTCCCAGGCCGGACGGCGCCTCCCTGTGCGCCCTCCTCCCTCGTGTCCTCGTGTCTCTCAGCGCTCTCGCTCTCGGGTGGGGCCTTGTTTTGTCTGCCCCAAGGAAAGACCACCGCGTCCCTGTCACCTGGTCCCTGCAATCAGCAGGCTCTGTGTGGTTTTCCAGTTGAAGCAGGAAGGGTTTGCTGATTGCTGATTACACCGACTCCAAATTTCCCCAATTGGTCTCCGTGGGGTGTCCCCACTGAGCCTGTGCGAGTCCCTGCCTCTCTCCACGGCACCCCTTCTCTCACCACTCGGCGTGGCTCCTGGGCTGTCTCAGTTCTTTTCTCTCTCTCTCTCTCTCTCTCTCTCTCTCTCTCTCTCTCTCTCTCAAGCTGGGAAAGCACAGACTTACCACACAGTGAACAGACAAGCCCATCTCCAAGGAGAACTGAGTGCCCTGGTCGTGGGGAGCAGCCGGGTCCTCACTGGCTTACATTGGGGTGTGCACACGTAGCCCCAGAAAGACCAAGAGACGGGGAGCTGGCACAGCAGGGCTCCCATCCCTTCTCTGCTCCTCGCTGTCCTCGGTGACTGTGCTGGCCTCAGTTTCCTCACCCACAAATGAGAGGAGGGTGACCCCAGGCTCAGAGAGGGGCTGTGGACTGTCCAAGGCCACATAGCTACTCAGTTAACCGAGCAGCTGAGAGTCACCCATAGGTCTGACCCCGTATCCTCATATGTTCACCTCGCCACACTCCGATCAGTTGATATATGTCTTTTCCTTAACACAACAGTGAAAAAATAAACATCATTAGAACAGCTTATTGGAAAAATCTTGTCCACAAACCCTCTTCACCCCCACCCATGAATATTCTCAGCTCCCACGTGTCCCTTCAAGTGTGTGTGTGTAATTTGCATAGACATGGGCATGTAGTTCCCTGTCTGTTCCGTTTGCTTAACATTATTCCACAGAGGCCGTCCCTGCTGCCAGATAATGGTAATGTCTGCCTAATGGCTCAGAGTCACACATTGGGATTCCCCTACCCAGTCCCAGTGCTGGGGGCAGGCGGCTCTCAGCTTCTCCGAGTTGTCGATAGCTCTGCTCCAAGCATCCCCAGCACAGAGCCTGGCTCTGCCTTTTCAGCCCTTCCCCGTAGAGTCCGTTTCCAGATGCGTTTCCAGGTTTCCCTCAGCCTTCCTCAGACCGGGCACTGGTGACATCTGGGCCGGGTCGTTCTCTGTGGTGGGGGACGATCCTCTGTATTGTAGGATGTGAGCAGCACTCCTGGCCTTTCCACTAGATGCCAGGAACAAGCCCCACAGTTGTGACAACCAAAACTGTCCGTGCACATTGCCCCGTGTCCCCTGGAGGGCAAGCTCGCCCTCAGTTGACAGTCACTGTGTTAAAGGGCAGGGGTGTGGAATATGCTCCAACTGGAAGTCACCGATTTCCCAGGACCTGATTGGGGGTGTCAGCGAGCGAAGGGATGAGCAAGAAGAAGTCAGATGCACCCAACTCAGTTCCAGCGCTGCCATTAGCTTTCTCTACTCACAGCCTCAGTTTCTCATCTGTGAAATGGGAGCAGTAAGAGTGACCCATTTGCCAGACTTGTGAGGAGCCAGTGAAGTCAGGAGCGGGAAACACTGAATATAGTGCTGGGCACAGAGACCTCCAAATAAAGGCCAATGGCTTGCCAGCTCTGCCTTTGCTGCCTTGGGGGATGGAAAGTTGGGGGAGTTGAGGTGACAGAATCGAAAGGGAACCATTCTCATTCTGCCCTCCCCCCAACCTCACGCTCCAGATCCATCCCTGGGGCACATACTCAGCTTCCGGAGCATCTTCTGGGGCACTTCGGGGAAACATGCATTTTCATGCATTTCCTCATCTGCCCGGGCAGCAGGTGGTGCAGGTTCAAAGCACGGCCCTGGGTCGCACCCCCAGCAGAGGGGAGGGAGTCTGTCCACGGGCCATGCCCTGGAGGCCCTTACGCATCCACTTTCCCCATAAAATCTAGAGCGTTGATCTGAGGGTTTGATAGCCCATCCCCAGAGAGGGGTACCCACCATGCTAATAGGTGCTTGGTGCACTCTAGGCTGAGCACGGGGTCTACCTCTTCCCCGGGCCCTCATGGGGGGCTGGGGATCGTGCCCAAGGCTAGCGTGGCTGTGGTCTCGTCTCCAGGAGAAGTACGTGGAGGAGCTGGCAACAGTGAGACAGACCCTCCAGACAGACCTGGAGACGTCCATCCGGAGGATTGCTGACCTGCAGGCGGCCTTGGAAGAGGTGGCGTCCAGCGACAGCGACACAGAGAGGTAACCTACTGGGGTCCTGGGGGGCTGGGCGCAGCAGGTGGGCTGCACCCTGGGGAGCGCTGTGGTCTTCAGTGGCCAGAGCTCCCACTCAGGGGTATGGGGGCCACATCTGCTGGGAGGCCCGGATGTGATCGGGGTGGGAGGTATCTGGCCAGCTCAGGTGAGGAAAGACAGGATGCCACCTTGCCCAGCTTCCAAGCTCTGGGGAGTGGGGCATTCTGGGGAGTGGCTGCAGAGGGACTGCACTGTGATTTCAGGCAAAGTACATGTCCACTCTGGACCTGACTCCCTCATCTATAAAGTGGACGTGATGCTATTGGACAAACCACATCAAATTGCCAAGATTCAGCCACTTTCTTTTTAATATGTTTTTATTGATTTCAGAGAGAGAGGAGAGAGAGAGAGAGAGATCATTGATGAGAGGGAATCATCAATCGGCTGCCTCCTACACACCCCACACTGGGGATTGAGCCCGAAACTTGGGCATGTGTCCTGACCGGCAATCAAACCGATGATTTCCTGGTTCATCAGTCGACACTCAACCACAGACCCATGCCAGCCCGGCCGATTCAGCAACTTTTGATCTACAGACTGGACATTTTGTATATTCAACCCATTACCTACCTCATAGGGTTATTAGTGAGAATTAAATGAGTTAATAGATGAATATCACTTAGACGAACATCTACTGCATGTGTGGGGCGTGTAACTGCTGTAAGAGTGTGAGCCATGTTTATGCAGAATAAGAACACATTTTACAAAGGCAACAACTAATTCAAGGACGCAAGATTAGCTGGCTGGTCATTGGCAAGACCACTCCAGTTCAGTGCCAGGGCTTTTCTCCTCCTCGGAAGACAGGCTGCTGCTTGCCACCCACTCGAGCCTCCACCTGCCAGGGGCCATTGGTGGGCTCCTCGGCTGGTAGGAGTCGGAAGTGTCCTGGCGGGGCACACAGCTCCTGCTCCCCGGAGCTGCTTCTGTGGCCTCGGCGTGTTGTTTCTGTGAAATGACAGCTGCCTGTCTCAAGGCCTGGGCCGCGGGAGAGACATGTTTTGTGCTTTGATAAGGAGCAGGGTGCCTTCACCTGGACCTTCAGAGGTGGTCCCCTCCCAACACCAGCCAGCCACCCCTGCACCCACCTGTGTGGGCTGCACCAGCCCCTGTCCCTCATGGTCTCCTCAGGGGTGGGGGTGGGGGATGGTCCAGGCTGCAGCCAGAAGAGTCAAAGGTTAGACCACCGAGTGCAGCCTTCTCCATTTGCACATGAGGAACCTGACCTCAGAGAAGTTCAAGGTCACACAGCAAATTAGCACTATACTCAGAGTTAGAACCCAGGGCTGCTCAGGTTCCTACCCAGACCTTTGCATGTCATCCTACTTTCAATAGGATAGATACAGGGGTCTGAACTGACCGGTGGGCGTTGTGGGCATGAGATGGGCAGTGAGGGAGAGATAGGGAGTTGCAAGTCAGCTGTGGGTTAGCCGGTGGAAAGAACCAGACATCTGTGTCAGAGCTGACTCTATCTCGTCAAGAAAAAAAGACTGAAAGGAAGTACTCTCGTCCCAAGAGAAAAGGCACTACAGGTGACCTAAATTTTTGTTTTCTTCAAGCATATTTCTATCTTCTAATATCTCTACAGTGAGCATGCACACACACCCGGCTACACCAGCACCCTCCCTGGGAGATTTTGCTCACGTGCTAGTAAACGAGGTGCTTGCTACGGCTGATCTTAGCACAGGAACTGGCTCTTCCCTTGATGCAGGCCTGGGCAGGTCCTACGCTGCTCAGAGACATGTAACCTCCAACTTTCCCACGAAGTTGCTCGTACCCAGCATCTTCACAACAGAGACCCAGCAGCTCTAAAACCTCATGCTCTTGCCTCCAAAGAGAGGGCTTTATCTCAAAAATCTCCAATTTCTGCAAAAATGGCTTCCATGCACATGGAGTGTTTCCACCGCTCCCTACGAATTTGTACAGCTGCCAAATTGCTGGTGAAATGGCAGATACCGATGTCGCAGCTGCTCCCAGCCCGTGATTACACGGAGGGGTGCCCCGTCCGCCACCCCTCCTCCAGTTCTATTAGTGTTGTGACAGCATAGTGTTTGTAATTACAAACTCCTATTGCTGATGTTACCGCTTGATGCTCAGCTAGCTCTTCTACGAATAGAAACGCTAGAGCTGTTGCGTTTGTTATAAAGGGACCTGGTGGCTGCGTATACTAGTACTTGTGTTTTGTTTTTTTTGCCAACGAGCAAAGCTTCTGAACCATCTTGACTTGCATAGTAAGAGATTCCTTTTCAGATGAACAATAAAAATTACAAAGATGACAAAATCGGAAAGGGGAGAAGAGGAGCCGTGGTCGGGGGTGTGGGGACAGGCCGGGCAGGAGGTGTGACAAGAAGCAAGAAGCAGATTCTCACCTAGGGACTAAGGTCACAGAGACGAATGCTCTGGAAATGAGTCCTCTGTGCTGAGTGTATATTGTACCTTTTCCAGCGTGTATCCTTTTAAATTGGCTAAAATCAGGCCACAGTGGGACAAACTGAGATACCTGGGCCTCACCGAGGATCGAAGCTGCCATTAGGGCCTCATTCTGAGTTAGTGTAACAGTGGGCCCAGGCCCTGGCCACACTGTAAGGCTCCTGCTCCACAGTAGGGCAGGCTTTGGAGCTGCCCACTTCTCTTTACCTGAGGAGGTAAATGAGAGAAAAGCACTTCTCCTCTCCGCTCCTCCTCCTCCACCCTACCTTCCACCGCTTTCTCGTCCTTCTCGCCACCTTCCTTCCTCTCTGGAGATGTCCACAGGAGCCCCCTGAGTCCCCGGGTTCCTTGATGTGCTCCGGAACCCCAGGCAGGATCAACTACATCATTAGCGGGCCCAAAGGGAGATAAAAATAGGGGTGGTCTTGTTCAAAATGCATTCAGAATTTCAGGACAGCGACACAGAGCATAACTCCAAGCACAGGCCCCTCTGGGCAAGGGCGAAGCCGGCCCTAACCCCACGTGGTTCTAGAGAGCATTTCTTAACTCTCAGCAGGCCTTGGTCTGAACTCGCTGCCCTGCAACTTGGATCTAAAATTTACAAGGAGCACAGATTTCAGGAATAGCATAGAAATGGGGGAAGACTGGAGGAAATTGCCCACAAAGAGATCTCAACACATTTTGGAGAACTAATACTGTACAAACTACGTCCTCTGGTCACAGGGCGATTGAAATGGCTGTCAACAGTAGACAAGGGCTAGATGCTTGGCTAGGTTGCGGAGCTGCTGTCCGGAGCAGAGGGCCCAGCCCCGGCCCCAGTGCTGCCCGTGCTCCTCCCCGTCCTGGCAGCTCCACGCTGCACTTCCCTCTTAATTGTCTTGTCACCGGGGATAAGAGGTTTGGAAGGGAGCCTGCGGGATTGGTCTGAGGTTCTTCTCCAAACTGAGCTCTCAATTAGGATTCCGACCCGCGCCGGGAGGGAGAGTGGTGCTTCCGCTCGCTGGAGGTGAGGTTCTTTGAGAGACTTGTTCAAATTATAAAAAGTCACATTTCCCCATGTTGGGAATTAGATCCGAGCGTAACAGGCCTTCCAGGCTGGAAACGTGGCTACGTGCTCAGAAAGCCAGGTGGGCTGTGCGGCAGCATTTAAACGCGTGTTCTCCTGCTCTGGAGCACTGCCTGGTAACTGGGGCTGGGGCGCCAGACTTCTTAGATTAATGGGGAAATGCTTTAGGCGGTTACCCCAGGCTCAGAGCACGCTCATTAGTCATGAGGGAGGGATGCGTCAGCTGACAGACAGCCCCATCCATCCTGGCCCAGAGTCTGCGGCTGCTCTGCCTGTCTCCTTGGCTGATGGTTTGGGGTGGGGGTGGTGGGGGGTGTGGAGAGGCCAAAGGATGACCTCTGACTCCAGGGTCAGCTGAGAGTGTATCCATTCCAGCTGGCCCAACCTGAGATGAATGTTCTAGAAAGAGTCCTCTGTTACTGTGTTGAGTTCAGTTGTATATTATCCTCTTCACTTGGCTGAAATTGGACTGCAGTGGGACAAGTAGAAATATCTGGGTCTAGCCAGAGATCACAGTTGCCATTAAGGGCATCATCCTGAGTGAATTTATTTATGAGTGGGCCCAGGCTCTGGCCAGATGGGCCAGACAGGCCTTGGAGCTACCCGCATCTCTTTTCCTACAATTCTCTTACCTTCTAGTTTGCTCTCCCCTTTTGGAATAATTAGCATGCCCTGGGACTGGAGAAAAGCTTAAAAGAATTTCTCCCATATTCTAAAAAGGTTGATGCCCCATTCCAAATTAAACACAGGACCCTGGCGTAGGATGGCGTATGTTTCGGCGATGCCACAGGGGCCACGTGCTTTCTAGGCATCTTTGTAGCTTGTGAGGCCTGGATACCCAGCTAGTGGGGCTCACAGGGCATGAGCGCTCCACACTCTTGCCTACTCGGGCGTTACAGAAAACAAATGATCATTCTGCTAATGGCCACTCTTTCCTGGGGACCTTGTGGCCGGGCGTGCAACCCACCTGTTTTGCATATATTGTTCTCACACAAGTCTCTGAGGTTGGTACCATTACCGCCCCAAGTCTTCAATGACAAGCTGCCTCTTAGAGAAGTCAGGAGACGGGTCCCAGCTCACCCAGTGAGGAAGGGGTTGTGATTTGACTCGCAGGCTGACTCCATCACCCACGCTTCTAATGATCGCGCTCTGCTGTCCTGCCGAGCATGCCCCTTCTCCCCGCTTCCTCCTGTCAAGGTCTCTGTTCTCTGCCACGTAACTGGCCTGTCATTCTGGCGAACTTGTGTCTGTCACTGTGATGCGGGCCCAGTGCACTCATGTATTACTTCCCCGGCCGTGTTTGTATTCAGCCTGGAGTTGTCTGGCAAAGACTTGCCCTAAAGGAATACAACAGAAGACAATTAATTATCTTGCTAATCGTCAATCTCCTGCCCACAAATGCCTGGCACATTTATTTAAAAACCTCATGCGCCAAGGTGAGAGAAAGAAGCACTGACTACGGGTATCGGGAGATGAGGGTTAGGCCTTGGCTGCACTGCCATGTGGATCAGCACCATGGACAGGTCTCGCGGCCTTCCTGGGCCTTAGCTTGCCCACTCAACAGGTTAAAATCATCATCATCTTCACCACCACCACCACCACCATCATCAGTGGAGCACCTTTTGTGTTAGGACATACAGAGAAACAGTAGGGAACAGATAAACATGGACCTGCTCATAGAGGTTGCAGTCCAGCAACACTTTCTTCATATGGTAAAAGGGTCAATGGGTCTCAAACTCCCTCCTTTGAGTGGAACCCTCGTTTTTTACACCAAAGCAAACCCCTACAGAGAATTCTAGCTTAGGATGGACTACAGCCATCTTTTGATTGGCATGAGAAAGGGAGGTTTGGGACCCTCCTAGGTCCCTCTCCCTGACCCCTTGGTAGCCCCTGTGAGACCTCCCAGAACTCAAGGGCTCATTGGACCATGGTGCACAAACTCAAGGACCTGCCATGGTCAATAATCCATGACTTGTAAAAAGTCCACCTGGTGGTGAATTGAAACACTGAGATACCCCCCGCCCCCATGGGGCTCATACTCATGGGGTCACCTGGGTGAATAGTGGTCACGAATTAACAGCAGCCTGTGCCTTCATTAGCTCTAAAGACTTTCTGTGCTGGGTTCAGTTGAAGATGGTTCAACTGACACCTGTGAGTAGGTACACCCGGCTGTCCAACAGAGAGGCCTCACTTCCTGGCAGCAGGAGGATAAACCGACTCTTTCTTGTACCTCCTCTAGTGTCCAGACGGCAGTGGATTGTGGTGGCAGCGGCAGAAAGGAGATGTAAGTTCACCCTGAGTAGAACGAGCAGCCGACACCACAGCCAGGAGCAAGCCCCTGGTCTCTGTCCAGTCTGCAGAGGGAACGTCCATGCCTCCTTGGAGAATGATCAGCAATGCCCCTGAGAGCTCTGGCTCCATAGTCGTAATATACAGCACTGGGCACATGTTATCGAACTGTCCAGCCTCTTTTAGACAGAGAGATGCCCAGGACTTAGGATGCCACTGTCCTCCGCAAACACCTTCGGTGGCTCCCTATTACCTCAGAATAGACTTTTTAAATGGACATCTGAGCCCTGCACATTCTCACCCTTACTTCCTTGTCTACCCTGGACTCCTGCTTCCGTATTATCCATGCTCCGCCTTTTTATGACCTCCGTACCTGTGTGTAAAATTCCTTTCTCCGGGCCCTGCAGGGATAGGCCCTAACCTTCCAACAAGATTTAGCTCAACTGCCCCTGTTGCATGCCTTCCCTATGCTTCCAAGAAGCAGTAAAGATTCCTCTTTATTATCCCGCTCTATGGCATTGATCATTTTCTCCTTATTTTCATGATTATTTATACAGATGTCTACTGTGCTATAATGGGTTCCTGAGGGCAGGGTCAGTGTTGGGTTCGTGTTTATAGCTCCTTCCAGTGGTACCTGGCATAGATTATTCTGCAAATAAATACATTTATATTTATATTTATATTTATCAGAGCAGAAAGATTCTGGGGAAAGCGGGCAAGGAGTTAAGACCTTCACACTTACCATGTTCAGTAAACATATCACTTGGTATAAAACTCAATGCCAAATATAATCTAAAATTGGAGGTGCCTCAACATCCCTAACAGAGTATTTATCTTCCCAAGGAAGAGCAGTGATCAGTAGCATGGGTATTGGATCCCAGCTTCATCACTAATTAGCTGAGTGACCTTGGCCAAGACCCAAGTTGGCCTTCCCAAATCCCATTCTCTCATCTATATAATGTGGAAATCACCAGCCACGACCCCTCAGGGATGGTGTTGTGAGAATCGATTGAGGTTATGCATGTACCGCCCTTAGCACAAGGCCTGGCTTCCATTAGGGGTGACTGTCTAGTTATTGCTGTTACTGTAGTTGTCATCGTGGTGACAGTGTCCTGCATTCTGCTTCTAGAGATAACGTCTCCATCCTTAGCTCCCAGCCAGAGGGCAGCGTGCGGTCCTGGTTGAGCTGTACTCTGTCCGTGGCCACCGACACCATGAGGAGCCCCTCTCGACAGTCGGCCATCAGCAGCCGCATCCTCAGCCCCAGGTAAGAGTGTCTCCTTGTTGCCTCTGGATGGCCAGTATCTCAAAGAACCTCAGACTTTGAAGTCTTTCCTTTCCTCTCTCCTACGCAAGGACAATCATGGTCCAGATGGTTTGAGATAGGCCCTGGCCACTTCCTAGCTGTGTGACTTTGGGCAGGTTGATTACCTTCTCTGGGCCTTCACCTCCTCATCTGAGGAACAGGAAATATAATTGTATTGACCACCCAAATAGTTGAAATGATGAGGATCTAATGCAGCTCTCCATAAGGCGTGATTTTCCAAATGATTTTAAATAGCACAGGGTGAACATTTTTCAAAATAGCTATGTATTTATTATAGCTGCCTCCCATCTAAGGCAAGTTCTTGTTTCCCATTTATAGACAGTTCTAGATTTATAATTTTTTTTAAATCAACACAGTCACTTGAGTATTTTCATATTTTTTTTAATGATGAGTCAGTATAAAGACAGACCAGATGACTTCTCCTTCAGAGGTTTTTGCTTCGTTTGAACATCAAGATTTTGTCTTTTTCCTAGAGTTCAGATGCCTTGACTTTCAGTTCTTTCTATTCATAGATTCACAAGTAATCTGTGAATGTGTCCCCCTTTCAAGAACTTAAAATATAACTGAGAAGGTGAAAGTCCTCTTGGCCACCACCACCCCAATCTCAGCTCCCTTTCCAGTGGTATTAACCATCTTCAGTCTGGCGTGTATCCTTCCATATATCTCTCTGTATATTTATAAACATATGTTCTTGTAGTAAGTACATAGCATATTTGTGGACTTTTAAAAACCTAAGTGACATGATGCTCTATTGTGTATATTACGCTACATATAAATTCTTACATTGCGCTTCCTTCCCTCAATCGTAGACCTAGGCACTCTTTCCCCGCCTACGCCTGTCACCTTCTGAAGGCCTGTAAAAGATCTGAAAGTCATGCCATGGTGTATTAACTGTAGTTTTCTTGTTTCACTTTTAGTTAGCTCCTGGGTATTTGCCATTAACCTGTAAGGCTTCAAAAAAAATCACACATCCTTACGCACATGGGCAAAGGGTTCTCTGGGTCAGAAAGCGTTTGCATTTTAAACTTGACTAGATTCTAGCAGGTCATCCCAGCGTCCCTTCAGTGTGACATGAGACTCCTGTCTGCCCATCCCCATGTCACCTGGCACATCTCGGAGCTCGAGAAGCGAGTCCCTGGGACGTTTCCAATTTGACTGAGAGAGGTCACTCTGAAAACAAAAGAGGGAGAAAGCCGTCTTCTGCCAAAAAAATACGAGCATTCTCTGTATTATTTATAAGGGGACATCAGCTCCGGGGAAATACAGCTAAAGCTTTATGATTTACGGCCCGGGAATCGTGCAGCTGCTGCGATAAAGGCAGGAGCTTCAGAAATGGCACTGTGTCACCCTCGTGGCCCCCACAGCGGAGTTTATGGGCTTGGGGGTGGCGGCCACACTTGGCTCAGGAGTGTCTCTCCACGTCTGGCCACAGGTGTGCCAGGGGCTGTTCAGGGGATGGCAGCTCACCTGGGCCCTGCTGGGTACCCGGCCTCCCCTTCCTGCCTCCTCAGGGCCATTGCCCTGCTAGAGGGTGTTAAAGGGGCTCTCTCCACCGCCCCCATCCTCACAGCGCTCCCAGCCCCAGCTCCCTCTGGACACCCATCCCCATGCCCAACGGAACCCCAGACTGAATGATGGGAGTGAACAAGATCATGCAGACAGAAAGTGAAGGGGGAGGGGAGGAGAAAGAAGAGCGGGGAGGGGAGGAAGGAGGAAGAAGAAGAAAGGGAGAGGAGAGGGAGAAAGAGAAAACATACTCACTAGAGTGTTTGTGCTCCCCGTTTGGTAGCCTTGGGAAGTCCCAGTAAAATTGTGTGCATCCTGGTCAGAGACGACATTTATCCGTAAATTTCAGTGACCAATCTATCAGCACATAATTAGTGATGTTGTGGCTTGAATTTATTACCAAACATGGCTCTCCACTGTTGCTGTTGGCCCTGTACCATCTTGCAACGCGAGCGTGGAGATTATTGTATAAATTATTCTCACTCACATAATCATCGTGATTTTAATTACTGTGTAATCTTCGCTAATTACTGTTGTATGTATCATTTGCTTTGGTGCCGACGTAACATAACTGCTTTCCTTTGGCTAAAAAAAAAAATGGCATGACAACGTTTCCCGTTTTCTGGGGGGAAATTGCTTTCTGTAAACATTCCCAGCCCCATCCTCTTGGCTTGTGGTTCTTTCGTTTAAAAGAAAAAGATTTAGACACCGCCACCACCCCCTTCTCGCCCCCCTGTTGATTTTTTTTATTTGCAATAAGGCTGGCTTGAATTAATAAAGAGGTCTAAATTATAGGGCATTGTTTTAAAAATAAAGTTGCATTACTTTCAAGGAAAGGCAATTACTTCTACGGAAGTGAAAGCCAAGGACGGGTCACGTGAAGCCCGCTCCAATGATTAGATCAGACTTCTTTGTAATTAGTTCATTAATTATGTAAATATGAATGGATGGCACTTAGCATTAAAAACAGCTTGTTCTCAAAGTAGGTTAAGCATCCATGCTAATCTCATTCCAATAGTACATTTATTCACTGGTCGCCGCGCTCATAGAACCAGAGCTCCGGATCATTTTAATTCAACCCGAATGTCCTTGATGAAGGGGCCTCTTGTGAACATGACTTCATGTCTTCCTGGGACAAAGGGGCTCCTTTCAGATTTCTCAGGATTAGGAAGACGAGTGGGAAAGATGTTAAAACGGAGGGTGTGGAAGTGTTTGAGCAAACACCTTGGGCGCCAGGCCTGAGCAAGGGAGACCAAGTGTGGGCTCTGTCCAGGAGTCCTCCTGGGAGCCAGCGGCCCTCGCAGGTGGCTTTCCATGGAGAGAGGGCCTTTCCTTGCCCAGAGCTCCAGGTCTCGGAGGGTAGATCTGTGGGATGCCGAGGCTCACCTAAGGCAGCTGCAAGTTTGTGTAAAACCATTTGGATTCGTCACTGATGGTCCAAAACATTGTTCTAGAATCGGTGGTTCTCTCATTGAGCTAAATTTTTGTTAAGTGAACTTATTATTGAAACATACATCCTTCATATCCATGTGATTTTTCATATCTATACATCTTTATGAAATTTTAAAAAATTAGTCAGACCTTTGTATTTACTACCCAAATCAAAACCAAACCATTACTACTCCTAGAGTGCAAAATTATCAACTTAATTGGTCAAACGTTTAATTTACTCACCCCCGATGCCTTGGTAGGGCCAGATCAAGTGATTCCGAAGGCCTTATATGGCCCACGGGCCAGGCGCTCCCACCCCTGCTCTACCCTTTCCATCCCATGACCTTTCCGGAAGCGCTCTGCAAATACTGGGTGTTCATAGAAGAACTAACAGTCTTGTTGGGAGACACAACAGAGTAAACAAGCAATTCCAGTGCAGACTGATGGGGAAGCACAGGGGCTGTGGGCGGAGGACACCCCTAGCCCGTCCTGGGAGGTGGGGGAGGCCGTCTGGAGAAGGCTGCACTTGGTCTGAACATCGAGGGGTGAGTAAAATGTTTGCTTTTTAAACCATCTATAGAGCAATGATTTCTCAGAATCACCTGTCAGTTGTCACTTCCTTCCTCTTTACCTCTCTCCCTCCTTATTTCTTTCTTCTTTTTTTTAACAACTCTGTTAGCCTTCACCTTAGTTGGACAATGACTGATGCTTTTTCGTATTCACTTCGTTTCTATCTTTACCTCCTTATCTACGTCTCTGTATATCTTAGACACATTTTTATGCTAAACAATGTGAAAGTAACTGGAAAATGTCATGCCAGTTCTCTCTAAATCATTCCACATCTTTCTCCTGAGAAGAAGGACTCTTAACTATTGCACCATTATCACACCTAAGAAAACGAACAAATCCATAGTGTTGTCCAAGATCCCAACATTCATATTACCTCATTTGTCCTAAAATTGTCTTATATCGTTGGATTTTTTAGAAGAAGGACCCTATTAAGGATACACATTGCATTTGTTTGTTTTGTTTCTTTGACACTTTTCTCTTTTTTTAAAAAAAAATAGACTTTATGTTTAGGAGAAGTCTCAGACCTACAGAAAAAGTAAGCAGCATGTACAGAGAGCACCATATACCCGCTCTGTCCCTACACACAGTTTCGCCTATGAGTAACACCCTGCATTTGCCATTAGTCTCCTTTAAGCTAGAATCTTCCCTCCCCTTCCCTTCCCTGCATGGAAGTAGACTTTTTTGTAGAGTTCCGGGTGTGATCCTGATGGGCAACTGTGCTCTAAGTCCCCTGGTCCTCGTAGCTGGGAATCAGTAAGGCTATATGCACAAGGCCGGGCAGATTCTGCTGACCCACAGAGGGGACACAGACCCATAGAAGGGACACAGGCCAGTGCCCACTGAGGGCTGTTCACTGCATGGGTTTCTAGAAAGTGTCAGAGAGAACTCACGTAGGATCAGAGAGAACAACAAGGAAGGCTTGAAGGTTATCTGGTCTCCTCAAAACATCATATTATCGGGACTAGAAGATATTTATTTAGAGACACTTCTTTTGGTTGCTTCCCACGCATGCCCTGAGCAGGGCCTGGGATCAAACCTGCAACCCAGGTATGTGCCTTTGACCAGGAATCAAACCCATGACCCTTTGGTGCTCAGGCCAATGCTCTAACTACTGAGCAACCATCCAGGGCAGGAAGAGAGGATATTTAAAGAATATTTTCTGGCTCAAGTCTCTGCCCCTTCAGGCCAGGAGTGATCAGGCTGAGGACCTGGGTGCCACTCATTCCACCACTTCCTCTCTTCCTTGGTTACTCCCTCCCCTGGCTTTTCCCTTTCAGCAGGTGGCCTTTCCAAGTCCCGTGTCCCTGCCCGTGAAACTGAGATAGCTGCCCTCACTTGTCAAGGGTTTTGCAGACTGAATAGCTAATAGCTGGTAGGAGGGATCTTCTCTCTGCCTGTGTAGCGTGTCTTCTCTGACCCCACATCCTTCCCTCTTCCGAAAGCCTGGCTCACCCCACACCTCCAGGAAGGCTATGCACGAGGCTCCAGCACCTGCTCTCTCCCCCGGCAACATCCTGCTGCACTTGCAGCCCGTGGTTCACAGTTCGCCTGGAACTTCCCTCGCTGCTGATTCTTCTTCGAGGGTCAGCCAGTCTCCATGCCTACAGCGTGCCCTCCTGGAGGCGAAGCTCCCGTCTTCCTCTGAGCTCAGCCTAGCATTGCGTATAGTTAGACCACGATGGGAGCCTCGGCTCTGCCCCTTGCTCTGCAAGCCCACTTGCCTCTCCGCGCCTCGGTTTTCTCATCTGTACAATGGGATAAGGGTCAGTGGAGCAGAGTGGTGAGGGGGCATGGATCCCGGAGGTGGACTCCTTGGTTTAAATCCACATTTTCCCATTTATCACATGACAGATTACTGACCTTTCTGAGCCTCGTTTGTGGAATGGGAAGATTACCATAGTATCTGCTTGAGAGGATTGTTGAGAGGATAAAAATGAGTAGATCTGCAAAGCCTAAAGGCACCATGTAAGGCAGCTGTTATCCAGAATCATGCAGAATTTACCTGTGCGCTCTAGGGACTCAATAAACGTCTCCTTTCTCTAGGGCGTTGGGCACGGTTTGGGGCACCTTGTCAAGTGTAATTACAGACCATCAATCGCTGTGCTGGGCTCGGTTACAAGGCCTCAGGCCATCTTGAAAGGACATCTGGTTTCCCTTCCCAGGCCTCGCCAGTCTTACAGAACATCAATACATTTTTAATTTCCTCTTTAATTTCAGGGTGTGGATGAAGAATGGGGGTGACAGCGCACCTCTGGGGATGATTCATGGTGTCATTAAAACCTTCTTCAAGTTCCCTGTAGCTCCGCTGGCCCCGGCTCCGCCCGAACTCTCAGGCCTGGACATTGTGTTTTTTCGCTGTGCGATTGTGTCTGATGCCAGTGAATCCGGCATCTGTCCGCTTGACTCGGATCTCGCTCTTTTGGTTCGTTGTGTCTCAGTGGATTGGGGGAGATGTTCACGTGTAGACGTGAGTTAGGCCGGTCGAGGTTTCTACTCAGCTGTCTACCTGGAGGGCGTGTGATGTCAGGGCAGGGAAAAGCATGAGCTTCAGGGTTCAAATCCAGGCCCTGCCCCTTAGCAGTGTGACCCTGGGCTAATGGTTTCTCACCATTGAGCCTCAGTTTGCTCATCTGCAAGATGGGGTGATGAATCTGATCCTGATGGGACCGATATATACAAAACGTGCACACACGGCACTTTTCACTTGTCACTGGGTATTCAAGGAGCGTGTCCTGGTGCGAGAGCTGCTGGGACCTGGGGGCTCCGTCACAGGACAGCCTGGCAGGGGCAGGGGCGTGGCCAAGCAGGGACACCTGTCTCAGCAGCTGGCTCGCTCTGGGCTGACTGACTACTTCATTCTCCGCATCCTTTTCCCGTTCTGCTCAGAGCAGGAGCACGTGTGAGAATCACTGATTCCCGAACCTCTGCCCTCATTGCAGGCCTTCTCTAGCCCTGATGGAAGGGGTCGTTCAAGAAAAACAATCAAGCAAAAGCACTAAGAGTTTTAAATAACAACAGAGGGGGGCAAACGTATGCTTTCAGTGGCGCGTATGGAAAGCAGTCACAGCAGGTCTGCGAGGAGGCGGTTCCGTGTGGCTAGACTGATGGGCAGGCGGCGGAAGTCCCCAAGGTATTCCTGGCCTCTCTCCTTAGAGAATCGCAGTGCCCGCCTGGCGTTTGTCCCACCTGTCTCCCCGCGGCTCGGAGGGCCTGCTATTCATCGTCCCTCCCCGGGGCCAAGGCTCTGGGAGGCAGGCGCGGTGACATCTTGATTATCCACCAGCCATCCATCACGCGAGGCCGATGGAGGGACGTCCCCTCTGAGCCAAGCCGTGCAGTGAGGGCAGCTTGGGGAGGGGGGGTGGCGAGGCAGGAGATGCGTCTGCCCAGGCTCCTGGCTGGGGACAGCAGAGTGTGTCTTAGATGCCCACCCTGTGTCAGACAGCAGCTCCAGGACCCTCTCCTGGAGCCTGCACGAGAACATCTGGACTCAGATGAAATTCTGCTGCCCCTCCCAGAAAGGAGCGGGCACAGGAGCTTCTTACTCGGAGTCATGGCGCCGGGCACCAGAACACGATGGCACAGAGATGGGACCGATTTCTGAATGGCAAGCCCAGGAGGTGGCACTCAGCCTCCCTTCCACACCTGTCCTCCCTCCCTCCCTCCCCCACACCCTCTCCTCTCCAGCCCCCAGTGTCCACCCTGTTTGGCTTGTGTCTCTGCTCCAAGCGCACCAGCTGAGGCTATGAAGACACCAGACAACTCTCGAACGTGGAACCCAGCCTGCCCTGCCCCCAGGACATCAGGCCCTGGGCAGAGAGATCGGTGATCACAGCCCTGTGGCCGCCAGGCAGGGGCCCGAGTGGCTGTGCGGGGACGTTGGCGGGGTGTGCCTTGTAGAAGTGTCGCTTCTGTGCTCTCTGTCTCGGAAACCAGCACTCCTTCTTCTCCTCTTCCTGCAACTCCTCTTCTCTCCCTCCCTTCCCTCCCTGTCCTGGCGTCTGCAGCCAGCACCGGGGTGGGAGCTAGGGTGAGCAGACGGCAGAGTCCCAGGCAGCGCTGTGACAGGAGCCCTCGAAGCCGCCTGCCCCACGTGGCAGGCGATGGATGAGACTGAGCACCCAAGACACATCCATCACCCCGCTCCCTTCAGGGGCCGAGGCAGGACGGAAATGACTTCTGTCAGCTCCGCGGCAGCCCACTGCCCCGGCAGCTCCGAGCTGTTTATTAAAAAAAGAAAGAGTGAGAAAGCCATCTTGCCGTGTAGTAGGGGAGCGATTCCAAGGCAGTGATGTTGACAGACACACTTTGGGGTGATCATAAAGGAGCCCTTCACTCCCTCCCCAGCCGCGTCCAGCTGTGACGGAGATGGAAGCTGACAGCCACGATGTGGGAGGAGGCAGCTGCTCCGGGCGCCCGGGGCCACTCCTTCTCGGGCTCCAGGAGGCAGGAGGCCACCTGCCCACCGTCCTCTCTCCGTCCCTCTGGGCACCTCCGTGGAGGCTTTCCTTGAGCCCAGTGGTGGGCTACGCTCAGGGGATTCAGAGATTAGTAGCAGTAATAACGATTGCCATTAACTGTTAATCATGAAGAGCCATTAATTATCGGTTATTAATTATTCATTGTAACTGGTAACCATTATTTGAGGGGCTAGGTGCCAGACCCATTTCTCTTGTCCCACGACTTCCCCGCAAGGTCACACGGTGACCTGTGCAGGAGGAGGTGGAAGGACTGCTCAGACAGCAAATGCAAACCCCGGGGCAGAGGGGCTCGGCCGTCCTCGGTACTGGCATGGCTGCAGCAGGTGACCCAGAGGGCAGCTCAAGGCTGGGAGTAGGGAGCTTGATCCCGTAGGAGGACCAAGGATGGTGAGGGGAGTGAGTGATGGAGGTGGCTCATAGACACGGTAACCTTGACTCTGTGTCTCCCCCCGCACCCCCCCACACACACACACCGTGACCTTGACCCATGGACCTCCACCCAGCTGACCTCAGGAATCAGAAGAGGCAGATGAGAAGACCCAGCCCGGTGCCCGTCACACATGGAACCTTTAACAGAACATCAGCGCCACGGCTGCCTCCCCCGGGTCCTGGGTCTGGGGAGGCGCCTGCCAGCCCCAGAAGAGAGAGGCTTATGGACGGTTGGAGCTCTGGCCTCGGGAGCTCAAGAGACAGTGTCTAGGTCTCTACCCACGTCCCTGGAAAGAACCCTGACCCCTATCCTACCTGTACCTCCTTTCCCGTCCAGGCGGCACCTGCAGGGCCATTGGCTGGCTTCCTTCCCCGACTCCAAAGCTCTTGGAGTTACTGCCCTGTCCTCTGGGATCCTGGGATGGCAATGGTGACATCAGACTGTGGTGGGCGAGAAGCCTTCCTCAAGGTTTTGGCCAGAATCCCAACCACCTTTCTGTGTGGAGGGCCGGCTCCCGTGTGCAGCTAGAGCAGCAATGCAGAGGGTGGACAGGGGCCGGAAGCCTGCCTGAGCCTCGCTCCCAGCACCTCGCTCCCAGCCTCCTCCAGTCCCCAGCCCCCAGCTCCGTCTGCCCTGCCCAAACCCTGGCCCTTTTGCTTTTTATAAATGACAACTCTGCAGGCGGGCAGGAGTGGCGCTGTTCGTCTTAGAGGAAGGACAAGTAGGTTTTTTATTTATTAAAGGGATGGTTGGCGGACTGCGGTCTCTCTCCTTTCAGCAACATCCTTCATCTTATAGTCCAGGCTCCTCCTTTTCGGAAGGAAAGTGATGTGGGCTCGGCTGCTGCAAACCGACTCTGCAGGGAAGCCAGGCCTGGTGTCGTCCCAGAATAGAAGCCATCTGTCCCCTTGTGCTGGTCTTGGTTTCATGCAAATCTCTCCCGTTAGGAGGGAGGTCTTCCCCCCACCAGGACCAATCAGGGCGTCACAGGGCCTCCCACTGAGGTGCACATTTGGGCCACTGACTTTCCGAAGCCCTTCCGGTGGGCCTGTCCTCTGGGCTTGTCCCTGAATAAGCAGATAGCCTCCTGCAGGTCTCCCCGTGGCTTCCAGAAGCGAATGACTTACTCCGCAGGCTCTGGGACAACGGGGCCCATCCTGTCAGATAGGATGCCTCATAAATCTAAGTCACTCGTCCTGCCTGCGTGTTAATCTACTCGAACGTACTTAGCTGGGTTTAATTATAGACAGAAATTGAATTTCAGAGAGCAAGGAGAAATCATTTACCTGGCTTGAATTTGCGCATTAAATCACGCGGTTCATTTGAGAATGCGGTGGGGATGGCATTTCCAAAGAAAAACAATATTAGCGCCTGTGCTTAGTGGCTCCCGCACCGCTTGCACAAATTGTATGAATTGCACGATCCCCACCAACTGTGTCTTTCTTGTTGGCACAGGACGCACGAGGAGGCCGGTGATGCCGAAAGCGTCCGGCGGGTGTCAGCCCTGAGCGGAGCCCAGGATGCCCCCAGCAAGACCACGGGGGACAAGTCCCTCTCTTCCCTCTTGCCCCTCTCCCTCCGCCGGCAAAAGTACTGCCATTTTGGGCATGGCGACGAGAGTGACATCCAGAGGAAGCCCCCGGAGAGATCAGGAGTCCTGTCTTCCTCCCCCTCTTCCCAGAGGGGAAACACATCCCCGGTGTCCAGGGAGAAGCTGCCCAGTCCTTCGGCCGCCCTGTCGGAGTTTGTGGGAGGGCTCCGGAGGCAGAGGGCGCAGAGGGGCCAGGGCTCGGTGCTGGGCCTGGAGGACTGGCCCACCCTCCCCATCTATCAGACCACCGGGGCGTCCACGCTGAGGAGGGCCAGGGCCGGCAGCGCCGAGGGACACCTCTCGCTGAGTTCCCCGCTGGTGACGGAGGACTGCGCCGGGCCATCCGCTGGTCTCCTGCGCTCCACCAGCCTCAAATGCATCCCTTCCCAGGGCGGGGAGGGCACCCCGCTGCTCCCCCAGAGGCCGAAGACCCGGTTCAGTTCCTGTGAGTCCCTCTTAGAGTCAGGGCCCGGCTCGGGGAGAAAACTGAGCTCCCCCTCCGCACCCAGGGACACACTCCTGTCGCCCACGCTGCGTCCTCGGAGGCGCTGTCTGGAGTCCTCCCTGGACGACGCGGGCTGCCCAGACCTCGGGAAGGAGCCGCTTATCTTCCAGAATCGCCAGTTCGCCCACCTCATGGGGGACCCTCCGGACAGCGACCCATTCAGCTGGAAACTCCCGAGTCTCAACTACGAACGCAAGGCCAAAGTGGATTTTGATGACTTCCTCCCGGCCATCCGGAAGCCCGAGACTTCGAGGTCGTTGGCCGGAGCCGCCAAAGATGGGCAAGACAGTTCCCGGCACTCCAGCGTCCACTTTGAGACAGAAGAGGCCGGCCGGACCTTTCTCTCAGGGATCAAGACCATTTTGAAAAAGAGCCCGGAGTCCAAGGAGGACCCCGGTCACCTCTCCGACTCGTCCTCCTCCTCCAGCTCCATCGTGTCCTTCAAAAGCGCCGACAGCATCAAGAGTCGACCAAGGATCCCACGGCCGAAGGGAGACGAGGGAGAGCGAACGTCGCCCGGCAACAGAGAGCCGGGGACGGGGAGGAAAGACGAGGACGTGGCGAGCATCATGAAGAAGTACCTGCAGAAGTAGGAACCGGCTCAGGTAAAGGACCGGCTGGGTCGTCTTGGGGGGTATAAGACGAGATCATCACCAGGGCCCGGCTGCCTAGAGCAGGGGTGGGGAACGTCCGGCCCACGGGCCATATAAGGCCCAAGAAATCATTTGGTCTGGCCCTGCCAAGGCATGAAGGGTGAGTCATTAAATGTTTGACCAAGTATATAGCAGGCTGATTTTTAAGTTGGTAATTTTGTTACAAATATCCAAATGGCAGACAAAAGGTTCCCCACCCCTGGCCTAGAGGAAATTGGTTGCTGCTGCTGCTTTTAATGCCGTGACTGATTTCTCTGGAGGAAGAGGGTCTGTAGAGGTGTTCGCTCATCAGAAACCCGCTGCCAGGTGCCACCTGTTTCTTTGCTCTTTAAAATGCAGACACGTCGGAAAGCAAGAGGGTCCTAGGGGACAAGGCTAGAGAAGGTGCTGGCTTTTAAAGCCGCTTGGTCTGGCTTTTTAAAGCCCCCCCCTCCCAATCCACCCCCGTCTTGCTTATTTCCAGTGCTCCATTCTTCCCGAAGCCGGAGGCGCTGTGATGTCTCTCTGCCCCATCATGATGGCATCATGGTGGTAGGGTCAGGCCCGGGTGGAGGAGGCCTTGAGTATAGTGGAGTCCAACTCCTGCATTAAGTGTCCGGAGATAAACTGAGGCCCAAGGGGGAGGGAGGAGGGGATGCGTGCAACCGTCACAGAGGAGCAGTGTGGGAGGAGCGGTGCCCCTGTCCACCCGCCTGCTTTCCTACTCCCAGCCCTGACCCTGGCACCCCTCCGCAGAAAGGCAGGAAGAGGCACTGACTGAATGATGGCTTCCTTGTATTAAGCGTGTGTGTGTGTGTGTGTGTGTGTGTGTGTGTGTGTGTATATATATATATATATATATATATATATATATCAGGTGGTCACTTAGTACCCACAATACCCCCCAGGGAGGTGGTTGCTAGTATTTATTCCCATTTTACAGGCTGGCACACTGAGAATCAAAGAGGTTAATTCACTTGTACCAAATCACACAGGCGGAGCTGGGATTGGAAACTCCAGAATCGCCACTTTTATCTGTAATGTTAGTCCGTATCCCAGGCATCTTCTTGGGTAAACTCAGCCGTACAGATGGAGCTGGATCTTTAAGGAGGCTGCCTCCATTGCCCTCAAAAAGGAGGTGGATGTTCTAATCACATATCAAAAGAGGTGTTGGGCCCGGCTGGTGTGGCTCAATGGTTGGGTGTCAACCTATGAAACAGGAAGTCACCGTTCAATTTCCAGTCAGGGCATATGCCTGGGTTGTGGGCTTGATCCCCAGTAGGGGGTTTGCAGGAGGCAGCTGATCAATGATTCTCTCTTATCACTGATGTTTCTATCTCTCTCTCCCTCTCCCTTCCTCTCTAAAATCAATTTTAAAATATTTTTAAAATAAAAAATTTTTTTAAAAAGGAATGTTAGAACTCATGGACTCCAACCTCAATGTTGAACAAATGAGGGAGACCTCAAATCAAGGTCCCCCAGTGGGTCTGCCATCAACCCAGCCACCCTGACTCCCAGTTCAGTGCTCTCCGCCCAGAGGCAGGGCCAGCCCTCCACAGCCCCCCCAAGGGCGCATTCACACCTGAGCATCCCACTTCCTGGCCCCCAGCTGAAATGCAGAGCCCCTTGCGGCAGGATGGGCATCAGCAGAGGAGGAGTAAGAAACTCCCTCCGGGTTCAGACAGAATACAAACCCACAGACCAGTGATCGTCCATGGCCACATTAATCTCCCCTTATCAAACCTCAGCGCTCACCACCGCTCCAGGCTCAGGCTGCAGGTGCGCGCTCCGCCCCAGCCCTCCTCCCACAGGCGTCCTGGACCAAAAGGAGCCACGCACCCCGCCCTCCACTGCTGGAGACCTGCTGCTTTGCGAGGCACCGTCAGCCCATCAAAAAGCCATTGCCCCTTCCGTGGAGATGGTCTCGGATGTTTCAGAGCAAATTAATTTGACTTTACATGGCCTTCTCTCTGCTCTCAATTACCGAGGAGAGATCTGATACTCATTTACATTATTGTGCTCTCGGGGACACAGAACGCAGTTTCAAAGGCCACGTAAAGGGCACGCGTCCATAAGGGAAGAGCAGCCCCTGGCAGAAGTCGACGCAGAACATCTTGTCTCTGCCATTTCTCCTAAAACTCAAGCTCCCTTCCCCCTCCCAGCCCTGCTCACTGTGATGACAGAGCGCCCGCCTAAAATGTCCCTCTGCCCGGACCTCCCGGCTGGAGTCTGGGACTAAACAGTGCGGCCCGTTCCCCAGGATGTGAGCATGTTACGGGATTTGGGGCCAAACGAGCTCGGTTCTTCCCGTCACTGGCCACGGGACCTTGGGCAAGCCATGTGACCCTGCTGAGCATCTGCGTCTCAGCTGGAAAACGGAGAGAATAATACCAGCCACGAAAAGTAACACTGTGAGTCGCAGGAGAATGCGAGGGATCCCAAAGACAGAGCCCGGCCCCCTGTGGCTGCACTAAATGTCAGGTCACCCTGCCCCGGGACATTTGGGTCCTGCAGGAACCCTGTCCCTGTCTCCCACCGCTTGTTTCCCGTCCACATGTCTTCATTTCTTTGGTCACATCTCTGCAGGAATGCCACCTGGGAACATGGGCCTCCAGGGCCCCCCCACTCTCACTCACCTCCCCAAGACTCAGTTCCCAGGTCCCATTGATCAGCTCTGACCTACGTTTGTTTCCAGCCTCCTGAGATGCACTGCCCTCGAAGACTTCCGACTCCGCAGAGAGAGACCGGCCCGGCCTCCCCGGGGGCCCTCAGTCCCACTACAGCGAGCGTGGCCGCCCTCAAGAGGAGAGAGGGGTCCAGCAGAGGCCTATCCCGCGGGGCGTGGGTCTCCCAGCGTGCTTGGTCTGCACACAATAAAGTGTTGGCTCCTTGGCATCTGTGTCTTCTCTCTGTTCTCTGATCCTGTTCCCTGGACTCTAGAGGGTTGATGGGCTGTGGCTGGGGGTAGAAGGGCTCTGAGGAATGGAACCAACCCAGACTCTTTATAGTTTTCAGTGACATACTGCTACTTCTCTCCCTATATGTCTACATGCAATGGTCTTGCTCCTTCTCTTCATTTGTCCAGGTTCTGCGCAAGTGTCACCTTCTCCAGGAAGCCTTCCCTGATTGGTCAAACTGAAATAACCTTTCCATTCTCCCTTAATTCCCATACTTACCTTGTCTGTTTACTTTCCATATTGTGTGCATACGTGAGGGCAAGCATCTAAGAAATTTTGATGGATGAATGAATGAAGGAACCAATGAACAAAATAATGCGCCTGCCAGGTACACACACTGAATGCATGCGACACGCTGACATATATGCATGCCTCTGAATGTCTGCCCCTGTCAACATCCAAGAATGTGTGAACATCTCCCAGTCTCCCATACACCTGACATACACGGCCCTACCACACACACAACAATACACTCATGTACATAAACTACACTTGCATAGGCACATGAAGAAACAAACAGATACCTGTTTCTTCAAACATCCTTGAAGAATTAGTAACAAGAACTAGTTGGCTGTTTATTGATCACATACTATGTGCTAGCCATTATGCTAAGCGTTCTACACATCTCACCACAACTTTATGAAAGGTCCTGAGAGATCAATGTACTTAATTTCCTATTTACAAAGGCGGGACTAGCTTACGCCCACATATGGGTAGCCAGTGCCACTTCTCTTTACATTCCCACTGGCACAGTCTCCATGCCCTGCCCCACCCCAAGGGGGCCTCTGTCGCCAGGAGGCCTCAGGTGTAGCCAATCACAGCTCCCGCCAGGGAGAGAGAAGCCCTGTTTGGATCACTGGTGTATTAGTTTGCTAGGGCTGCTGTAACAAAGCACCACAAATTGGGTGACAGCCCTCAATAATGACAGTCTTTTTTCCCCTGGATCCTTCTCCCAGCCTCTACCTGCAAAGCATGGATTTAAAGAGTGTTCATGGCCTCCCTGGTCCACTCTCTCCCCCCTTCCCCAAGCAACCACTGTCCTGATTGGTATCCTGGTAGGTTAGGTTTGCCTGTCTTAGAATTTCACATGAAGGAGATCACACAAAATATACTTCTCTGTGTGTGTGCAGACTTCTTCCACTCAGCAAAGCGCTTTTGAGATTCATCTGTTATCGGTGACTCAGTAGTTCCTGGCCTTTTTTTCTGAGTAATAGTTCATTGTTCAGATGAACCACAGTCTCTTTTATCTGTTTTCCTGTTAGGTGACTATTTAGGCTGTTTCCAGCTGTTAGAAAAAGACCTGCTGTGAACATTTGCATTCAAAGCCTTTTATTTTCTCTTCTCTGGGATAAATACCCAGCAATGGATTGCTGGGTCAGGGGGCAAATGTATGTTTAACTTCCTGAAAAGTTGCCAAACTGTTTTCCAAAGCGATCGTGCCGTTTTGCCTTCCCACCAGCAGCGTAGGAGGGTCCGGTGCTGTTGCTCTTTTAATTATAACCATTCCGGTGGGTGTGTAGCAGTCTCTCCGTGCGATTTTAACTGGCATTCTCTAATGACTAATGATGTTGAGAACTTTTTCCTGTGTTTATTGGCCATTTGCATCTATTCTTGTGTGAAGTGTCTGTCAAAGTTATTTATATTGAATTGCTTGTCTTTCTGTTATCAAGTACGGATTCTTTACTGGTATGTGTGCTGGATGCAAGCCCTTTGTCAGATATGTGTTTTGCCAAAATTTTTTCCAGCCTATGGCTTGCCTATTTATTCTCTTACAGATATATTTTGATGAGCAGGCGTTTTTATTGTTGTTGAAACTCAGTTTATTGTGGGGTTTTTTCCCCTTTGGGCATTCATATTTTTTAAATCCGTTTAAAGAAACCATTGCCCACCCCAAAGGCCATCAAAATATTCTCCTACCTTTTTCTTCTAGTAGCTTTTTGTTTTAGCTCTTACATTTACAACTGTATTCACTCATAATATACCAGGAATGTGCCAAGGGCTCAACAGGGAGTCTCTTATTTAATTTTCCTTAACTTTTTTTTTCTAAGATATTTTTATTGATTTTAGAGAGGAAGGAAGAGGGAGAGAGAGAGATAGAAGCATCAATGATGAGAGAGAATCATGGATCGGCTACCTCTTGCACGCTCCCTACTGGGGATTGAGCCCACAACCCGGGCATGTGCCCTGACCGGGAATCGAACTGTGACCTTTTGGTTTGTAGGTCAACACTCAACCACTCAGCCATGCCAGCGAGGCTCCTTAATTTTGTTTTGAAGAAGGTACAGACACGATCTCCATTTTCATTTAGGTCTTTTATGGCATTTTTCTCATTTACTCACTTGTTTGTTTTGCAAATACTTGTCTAAGATGCTCTTTGGAGCCAGGTGGACCTGCCCTCCCCACCCCCCACTCCCCGTGTTTGCATTTGACCTGCATGTTGAAAACTCAGCCCCACCCAGAGAGAATCCAGGGGACAAGGGAGACACGACAATGGCCAGGAAGGACGTCACAGAGGAATTGCTTGGGGGAGCCTTTGGAAGTCGAGTGAGATGCAAATATTCAAGCACAAGGAGAAAGACGAGGAGGGAGCGGGAACACCTGGGCAAAGGCCCAAGGCTGGCGTTCCTCTCGCTGGGATGGTTGAGCAGGAAAAAGCTTTAGACCACAATGTAGACCAGACAACTGTTAAAGGATGGAGGAGGCGGATTGGGCAGGGAGCCTCAGATCACAAGCTACATCTGATAAAGCCCAACCAATCCAGAAGGGGGCTCCGGAGCACAGCGGTCCCTCTGCAGGAGCCTGGTCGTGGGCAGAGGCGCCCGCCTCTGGTACCCTGCTGGGTTAGGGCATCACCCGAGGGCTGCCCTCCGAGCACGTGGCCTTGGTTTGAAAGCTGAGGGAGATCCTGAAGGAGCCTCAGATCTCGCTTAGACATCCTCTCCTCTCAGACTCTAAAGAGGCTCCCTCTGGTCACGCTATACCTCGCTCCCTGTTGACTTTCTTCCTGGCCCAAGTCACAGTTGTTACTGTCTGCCTGGGTGCTGTCTGTTTCACGCCCGAGGCAGGACAATCCATGAAGACAGGAGATCTTTCTTGGGACGAGACAGAAACTCAAAATATAAAAATATAATTGTTAGGTGAACTCCCTGGAAAGACTTGGGGCACCATCTGAAAAGCCTCCTAAACTCTAGGCCCATGAGGTGAATGTCGAGTGGATCCCAGATTATAAAGAGGACGCACTTTCCTGAACAGCCCCCTCCAAAGTCGCAGGTCTCATGTGCCATTTATCTAAGCATCAGAGGCGCAGTAAATTCATTCATAAGGAGATAATGGGTGTGAATGCATTTCGTAAACTTTAAAATGCCTGGCAAATCAGAAGCGATGGCTATTTCGCAAGCGTAATATGCTCCCGGCCAAACATAATCAAGGTTCCATGAAGGCAGAGCCGTGACCATCTTGTCCATCGCCGAATCCCCGCGGCCTAGCCCGGCAGCTAGGAGGCAGACGTGTGGCGGTTACGGATCCCCGGATGCAGAAACGGACAACCACAGGGCTGGGGTGCCAGGGGCCTGGGTGTGTGTCTGACCACACCTCTTTCCTCATCCATCACCCATCACGTAGCATCCACCTCTTTAAGCTGCCCTAAGCATTCAGTGGGAAATGCCTGGTAAGTGCTAGGCATAGTGACGGGCATACAACAAGTGCAAAATAACGGCAAACCCCCTTGGGGATTGCAAAGCCAAAACCCAGATTAAACACAGATGCTCCTCCGCTTGTGACGGGTTTATGTCCCGAGGACCCCATCGTATGTTGAAAATACCGTAAGTCGGAAATGCATTTAATACACTTGCCCTACTGAGCATCCCAGCTTAGCCTAGCCTACCTTCAGCGTGCGGAGAACACTGACATGAGCCCACAGTTGGGCAGAATCATCTAACGCAAAGCCTATTTTAAAATAAGCAGTTAAATATCTCATGCAATTTATTCTGCGTATCCCTTTCGCACCATCGTACAGTCAAAAACCCATAAGTCGAACAATCGTAAGTCGGGGATGGGAGTTTCTAAATTTAAAGTGCAACTGGGCTTGCAATGCGATTCTGAGTCGGTGCTTAAATTGATTTCAATTCTTACAAGAAACGGCCTCAGAAAAACCACTCTGTTTATCTCTGGCGGGAAATCAGATGATAAAACAAATGAATGAGAGTGAACAGCGCCCATCGGGCCGCGGCAGAGGGAATCGGTGGGCTGTCATCAAATGCACACACCTCCTAGGAGCACAACCACCACATAAATACGGGCTGGCAGTGTGGGCACGGGGGCATTTATCTGTGGCTGGATTCGGGCTCACAGATGCACCTGAGGTGTCCTAACTATACACCACGAGGAGGCGGGCAGGCTCCCGAGCCCAGTCAGAACCCCGGCGTCACTGGGGGCAGAACGGCTTCCTCAGAGGTTTTGGTGAATGAAGCGTGGACTGGCCTGTTCTCAGGGCTGACAGGGCTGGGCCAGCCTGGAGAAGCCATTCAAGGATTTCTTCTGTGGCCACTTTCTCTGCGGTGCTGGGTAGACAGGTGATGAGGAAGAGAGTAACGAGTCGTTAAGAATGGATGAGGGTGCCCAGCCAACGTGGCTCAGTGGTTGAGTGTTGACCTATGAACCAGGAGGTCACGGTTCGATTCCAGTCAGGGCACATGCCCAGGTTTTGGGCTCGATCCCCAGTAGGGGGCGTGCAAGAGGCAGCCGTTCAATGATTCTCTCTCCCTTCCTCTTTTTCTATTTAAAATATAAATATATATTTTAAAGAAAAGAATGGATGAGGATTATTAAGTGGTTGTGATGTCTTATTAGTTCTGAGTTTTCTAGACAGGGAACAATGGTAGGGATATTAGAGGCAGAAGAACAATACGATGCTGCCATTTTCCTGTTCTTGGCAACT